GTCCTAGCAGACGACAATCCAACTCTCTACTGACTGAGCTATTCCACTGTCCTAGTAGACAATAATCCAACTCGCTACCGACTGAGATATTCCACTGTCCTAGCAGACGACAATCCAACTTATTACTGACTGAGCTATTCCACTGTCCTAGCAGACGACAATCCAACTCACTACCGACTGAGCTATTCCACTGTTCTAGCAGACGACAATCCAACTCACTAGTGACTGAACTATTCTACTGTCCTAGCAGACGACAATCCAACTTACTACTGACTGAGCTATTCCACTGTCCTAGCAGACGACAATCAAACTCTCTACTGACTGAGCTATTCCACTGTCCTAGTAGACAATAATCTAACTCTCTACCGACTGAGCTATTCCACTGTCCTAGCAGACTACAATCCAACTCACTACCGACTGAACTATTCTACTGTCCTAGCAGACGACAATCCAACTCTCTACTGAATGAGCTATTCCACTGTCCTAGTAGACGACAATCCAACTCACTATTGACTGAACTATTCCACTGTCCTAGTAGACAATAATCTAACTCTCTACCGACTGAGCTATTCCACTGTCCTAGCAGACTACAATCCAACTCACTACCGACTGAACTATTCTACTGTCCTAGCAGACGACAATCCAACTCTCTACTGAATGAGCTATTCCACTGTCCTAGTAGACGACAATCCAACTCACTATTGACTGAACTATTCTACTGTCCTAGCAGACGACAATCCAACTCTCTACTGACTGAGCTATTCCACTGTCCTAGTAGACAATAATCTAACTCTCTACCGACTGAGCTATTCCACTGTCCTAGCAGACTACAATCCAACTCACTACCGACTGAACTATTCTACTGTCCTAGCAGACGACAATCCAACTCTCTACTGAATGAGCTATTCCACTGTCCTAGTAGACGACAATCCAACTCACTATTGACTGAACTATTCCACTGTCCTAGCAGACGACTATCCAACTTGCTACTGACTGAGTTATTCCACTGTCCTAGCAGACGACAGTCCAACTCGCTACTGACTGAGCTATTCCACTGTCCTAGCAGACGACAATCCAACTCACTACTAACTGAGCTATTCCACTGTCCTAGTAGACAACAATCCAATCGCTAACGACTGAGATATTCCACTGTCCTAGCAGACGACAATCCAACTCACTACTAACTGAGCTATTCCACTGTCCTAGTAGACAACAATCCAATCGCTACCGACTGAGATATTCCACTGTCCTAGCAGACGACAATCCAACTCACTACTGACTGAGCTATTCCACTGTCCTAGCAGACGACAATCCAACTCACTACTAACTGAGCTATTCCACTGTCCTAGTTGACAACAATCCAATCGCTACCGACTGAGATATTCCACTGTCCTATCAGACGACAATCCAACTCACTACTAACTGAGCTATTCCACTGTCCTAGCAGACGACAATCTAACTCACTACCGACTGAGCTATTCCACTGTCCTAGCAGACGACAATCCAACTCACTACTGACTTAGCTATTCTACTGTCCTAGCAGACGACAATCCAACTCACTACTGACTGAGCTATTCCACTGTCCTAGTAGACAACAATCCAATCGCTACCGACTGAGATATTCCACTGTCCTAGTAGACGACGACCCAACTCTCTACTGACTGAGCTATACCACTGTCTAATTTCAGATTGTTCAGAAGGTCGTGATTCGGGATTTTATGCAGGTCGATATGATACATTTTGGATAAAACCAAAACTCTCTGCTGCTCCTTTCCAAGTTCGCTGCGACATGGTCTACAGCAAAATGTATCTCCAGATTAATTCCTACTGGTCCCCAAATGTATCATTTGACAGAACTTGGCAAGAATATGTCGATGGTTTTGGTTATGATGTTGATTGGTTCGGAAGTCATTGGTTGGGTCTGCAAAGCATATTTGAAATAACCAACAGTCGCAGCTACGATCTTCAAATCAAAATCCACGTCAGTCAGCAATGGAAAAAAAAGACCATTAAATACCACGATTTCAAAATTACGGATACTGCGTCGGGATTTCGGCTAATGATTGGAACAGCTGAACCTATGGATTCAAGCCCATTAGAAGACTGTCTATCCGCTTTGAACAACACCGAGTTCAGTACTTCAGATAGACCAACGTCAATCTGTTCGTCAGCTGCCCAATCAGGTTGGTGGTTTGGTACGGTTGAGACCAACTGTAGCTGTTGTAACGCAAATGGAAATATTGACTTCTATAGAACGGAACAAGGTGCGTTTTGGAATGACGGTTTTCAGACCGATACAGTCGTATATACAGAGATGGTCTTGTTGGCTGCTTGAATGAGAAGTTGGGCGAGTCGCAGCTTCCAGAAAACAGGAATTGTATGGAAGTTTTCTATATTTTGTATGTGTATCAGGGACACTGATAGCATCAATTTACACCATTCTAATTTTCAATCAGACGTCTGTGGTTCTTGTTAAAGAGATTGTTCAGAGGTTTTCTAAATTTTTTATGTGTATCAGGGACACTGATAGCATCAATTTACACCATTCTAATTTTCAATCAGATATCTGTGATTCTTGTTAAAGAGATTGTAAAGAAGTTTTCTATATTTTTTATGTGTATCAGAGACACTGATAGCATCAATTTACATCATTCCAATTTTCAATCAGACGTCTGTGGTTCTTGTTAAAGAGATTGTAAAGAAGTTTTCTATATTTTGTATGTGTATCAGAGACACTGATAGCATCAATTTACATCATTCCAATTTTCAATCAGACGTCTGTGGTTCTTGTTAAAGAGATTGTAAAGAAGTTTTCTATATTTTGTATGTGTATCAGGGACACTGATATCATCAATTTACATCATTCTAATTTTCAATCAGATGTCTGTGGTTCCCGCAATTCCACTAAAACTAAGTGTTTAATGACGTCACTATTTACTACAAGGGTCTTGTGTGATATAAGCATATTTTGCGATTAGTGACGTCATCAAACACTTAGTTTTATTGAAATTGCAGGAACCACAGACGTCTGTTTGAAAATTAGAATTTTGCGAGGAATGTGTCTACCAAGTACGAAATAAATTTTGTTTTATGAGCATCAAGTCTTTGTTTTATTTTAAAATTGATTAAAAACAATTTGAAGACCCTTGGGCGGTACTGTTTTATAGAAATTGATATTGGAATTTCAAAGACAAAATCGTTTAAATACACTTTTGAAATTTTACGAAAAAAACACTGCAAATTTTTCTTAATCAACGTGTTTTTAGAATTGAATTATTTGTGTTTTTTGGTAGAAATTACTCAATTTTGACATTTTATCAATTAAGTATTGCAAATTAAAAAGTGTCAATTTTATCTTTTCCTTATAAATATTGACGTAAGCCGAAATCAATTTTTTAATCATTCTTTTATTTCAAATAATATCTCATAGTTCTGAGGTTTTTTTTGGGTTGATTAAGTTCTTATTTGGAAATGTTGTTTTACAGAGAGGGAAGGGCGTATATCAGGCCCATAGTCAGACTTGACTGATTGGCTTTACGGAAATTGCCGAGGATTGTCTGTAGCCAGAATAGGCGGTTCGGCGTTACGGAAGTTATCGAGGATTGTCCGTAGGCGACATAGACGGTTCGGCGCTACGGAAATTATCGAGGATTGTCCGTAGCCAGAATAGACGGTTCGACGCTACGGAAATTATCGAGGATTGTCCGTAGCCAGAATAGACGGTTCGACGCTACGGAAATTATCGAGGATTGTCCGTAGCCAGAAAAGACGGTTCGGCGTTACGGAAGTTATCGAGGATTGTCCGTTGCCAGACTTGACTGTTCGGCATTTCGGAAATTGTCGAGGATTGGCCGAAGGCAGAATAGACGGTTCGGCGTTACGGACACTGCCGAGGATCGCTCGTAGCTTTACGGACACTGACGAGGATTGCCCGTAGCCAGGTTTGACTGTTAAGTCTTAACGGACTGCCAAGGATCGCCCGTAGCTTTACGGAAACTGCCGAGGATTGTCCGTAGCCAGGCTTGACAGTACGGCTTTACGGACATTGCCGAGGATTGCCCCAAGCTGGACTTGACGGCTCGACTTTACTGAAATTGCCCTTAGCCAAAATAGACGGTTTGTCTTTACGGGCACTGCCGAGTATCGCCCGTAGCTTTACGGAAACTGTCGAGGATTGCCCTATCCAGATTTGTCTGTTAAGCTTTACGGAAATTGTCGAGAATTTCCCGTAGGTTTACGGAAATTGTCGAGGATTGCCCGTAGGTCTACGAAATTGCCGAGAATTTCCCGTAGCCAGAATTGACTGTTTGGCTTTATGGAAATTGTCGATGATTGCCCGTCGCTTTACGGAAACTGTCGAGAATTACCCGTAGTCAGACTTGACTGGTCGATGTTACGGAAACAGTCGAGGACTGCTCGTAGCTTTACGGAAACTGGCGAGGATTTTTCAGACGTTGAGTAAAATGATTGAGTATCGCTCACTAATTGAGTTAAATTAAGCCGAATTTATCCAACAGGGGGCAGGGTGGCCAGTTTCTTAGTTACTTTGTTTACTCCAGAAAGCAGCCTCCGAATTTTTCACAGTTTTGTCTTTTGAAAAATTATTTTGTGATACATTTGTGGAATTAAGAATTGAAAGTGAAGGAGTTTTACGTCCTTTGTTTCTGCATCTTATTTGGCTAATGTATATAAGGAAATAGTTTTTGTTCCACTTTTCTGCTCCTGATCGGGCTGAGGAAATGAAATGAAGTTTTTGTGCAACTTTTTTCATCTTATTGAAATACTGAAGACAGACAACCTCATGCATTGTGCAATGAGGGAAATTTTGTAAGGATATAAGCGTTATTCTAGAATTTAACCTTGGATTAAGGGTAACCTAGCATAGCTAGGTCCAGTGGATTACCAGTCAACCCGTCTACATGTCAACATGTGTTGACGGGTTGACTCAGTCATTGACTTGTTAACTTGATGTTGTAAGTTTGTTGACGAGTTATCTGTAGACGGGTTGACATGTAGACGAGTTGACTGAACACCGTCTAGTGCACGTTTCAAATAATTACGTAAAACTCCATTCATTTCACTTTTAATTGATATACTTCCTCCTGTGAAAAGTTGATCAGTTATAAACAATGTACACATATTGCAAATATCTTGTTTTCGATTTTAGGTTTAGTTTTGAGATTCATATCGTGCGTTTTTTAAATTCATTTAAAATCCATGGACGGAAAATACAACATCTACCCTAGTGAAATTATCGTAAAGGGAAGTAACTCCATTGTTATTGACGTCGCAATATTTTCTTGTTTAGTGCAATTTTGTCGTTTTTGTTGCAAGGAAGGACTTTGAAGGCACCCAATGAGGAATATTTGCGTAACTGGTGAGTAGAGTAATGTCGAGGAGCATCGCAAATTACTTGTCGAGGAATTTTTAGGGCTGAATTATTAGATAACGAAAATGTAGAAGTGGTAGGGTAAAGTAGGGTTTGTTCGTTCTAACGGGTAATTTATAAAGTAGCCCCGTCGTCAGGGTGGGGTCCGTGGGGGCTGGGCCCCAACAAGAGAGAATTAAACCCCAGCAAAACCTTCTTCAGTTCAGCACAGATTGATTTATTTACAGTGTCTTTGTACAAAATCAAAAAGATATAGATTTTGATTGACACGTTTTTTCACCTCAAAATTGTCAGAAACAAGCTCTCTGCCTTTAATTCTTCAAATTTTCTGAGTATAAAATCTGAGCCCCAGCACCAATTCATTCCTGGCAACGGGACTGTTCATTTTGGCACCTTAAAATTGTCAGAAATGAGTTCTCAGGTTCTTTAATTCTTCAAATTTTCTGAGTATAAAATCTGAGCCCCAGCACCAATTCATTCCTGGCTACAGGTCTGTTAATTTTGGCACCTTAAAATTATCAGAAATGAGATCTCTGGGCCTTTAATTCTTCAAATTTTCTGAGTATAAAATCTGAGCCCCAGCACCAATTTGTTCCTGGCTACCAGACTGCTTGATAAACAGAAAATGAAACATGTAAAAGATGACCTTGAATATTATAAGATTGTGTATTCAGGGAGTTCAAGGTCATATCATATTACGCTGATTAATATAGTATAGAGATAAAGGTTAGATTAAA